TTATGGACAGTTTTGTATATATTCACATGTAAAGATAGAGGGACGTTAGCTCATATATGAGATAATCAAAGATGTTTTATTTTGAAACTCTACATCAGAATGACCTGATATTCTCTGAGTGACTATCTCTTGTGTAAAGTGCATATTTTTCTTGCTGATTAATCTAATAACTGAGTGTGATGGAAGGCAAGTCAAAACATTTGGTGATTCATTTCTGTTTAACATCACGATGAAATAGAAAACAAAACAGGAAAGACTTTTTTTGTTTTCAATAAATGTATTCAATAAGGATAAGAACATACTAAGTAACAATTATAAGAGATCTACTCCGTAATTGTACATATTTACACAAGTAAAATCAATCCCAGACAGGAAGAGATGGAGCTTCAACTGAGAAAAACACTTAAACAAAATAATAAACCTTATACAAATACAATTAAAATGGACAAATCCAAATCTTTATCGCGTTTTCAGTGCTTTAGAAAGAACAGTTAGTAGTTTGCCCTTAACTTGTGTATTTCACTTCAAACATTTATTAATTAAACATAGATTTAAAGCTGCAAGAGGGATCTTTTTCAGGCATAAACTTGTATTAATCCACTGTTTAGTTTGAGGCCAATATGACGACAGCTGTTGTTGTTCCACCGAGGGAAACATACACCACTCATTTTTAATTGCTTCAAAGAGGTTACATGTCCACTCAGAAGAAATGGGACAAAATAAAAGGATTTCTGAAGCTGAGTGACTTCAGGTTCAGGTTCAGGTTAGATGCTAACGTTGAGGACAGTACACAGAGTAATTATAGTTGCTAAAAGCTAATGGTTTAGGGAGAACATTGGGTTTCAGGGTCAGCTTAGGGACAGTTTTCAGCTACTACGTGAGCACTGTGGAGACACAGAGTGCATTTTAAAATGACTTTTGAAAGATATTTTTTGACATAATGTGTGAATATAAAATGCTTAGGACCGAGGCTGTATTAGGTTGTTTTGCTAGTTGTATAAAGGACTCAATTAATTGATTTACACAAGATTTCTGAGCTTATTAACCCTTGATTTGTGTTCTTGTTAAATGTGATGTTAGGGACAGAAAACAGAATAATTAAAAGGTGCTAAAAACTGAGATATGGGGGAGAGCATTTGGTTTCAAAGACAGCTTTTGGATGGTTTTCCCCTTATAGATGAGACCTGTGGACGTAGATAAGTGCTTTTTGAAATCAGCTCTCTAATGTTCTACTTTTGGGAAGAAGGAAAACAAAAATAAAGACAAAGAGAGCAAGAGGAAGACATAAATGCATCACCTGAAGAATGACCTCAGGGTTTTGATAGTTGCACATATCAACGTTTCTGAATGCATGGCTTTCAGGGGTTCCCAAACTTTGCCATGCCAAGGACCCCCATATAGCATTATCCTCTGGCGGGGACCCCCTGTTGCGACATTTGCTACATCCGTGCTCTCATCCAGCTGCAGAGCGAAACATTCACTAGNTCCACAAGCTGAGCAGATTTTCACTCGCAGTAGCGGCAGCTCGATTCTGATTGGCTTGAAGGGCGGTTGTGTGATTCAAAAACAAAAAATATGACAAGATTGGCATCAAAGGACACATAGATTGATAGATATGCAGTTATTAATAACATTAAGAAAAAAACAAACTTAAAAAAAAAGAAAAATCCTGTTTCCCTCAAACTTTGAGTGACCCCCCTGGCGCCCCCTGGCAGCCCCTGGGGGCCCCCACTTTGAAAAACACTGGCTTAGATTAGATCACATCTGAGCTGATAAAACATCTGATTTGTGTTCTTGTTCGATTCTGATGTTGAGGACAGAATTTAAAAAGGAGAAATAATGGTTTTAAGGACGGCTTTTTGTTGGATTTCCACAGGTCAGTTGGGACCAGATTCTATAAACTCAACACTAACATAAATTGCATTTTATTAAAAGTGAAGATCAGATCCAAACACAAGCATTTTTGGGACACTTTACATTAATATGTATTTACACTTTATCTGTCTGGTTCAGATTAAAAACAAACAAACAACAAAAATCAAGACGTTGTGTATTTATTTCCTCGTCTTCATGAAGGTCTTTGCCTCCTTCTGTAACTCCTTGATGTCCTCCTTACCGCTGTCGTCAGAAACAGGAGGTGTGTAGTCTGAGTCATCGCCCGCATCCTCGCTGTCGTCATCGATGAAGCTGTCGTCGTACTCGTCCTCTTCATCATCATCATCCTCACCACCGCCGACCTTTTTGTGGACGGTGCGGGTAGAGCGAGCTGTAAAAGCATTATCAGAGTGAGTGAGTCACACGGGGAGGAAACACAAAAAGGCTTAAAGTGCAACAAGAGAAATGTGTTTATTTCATCTGCCGCTGTTCCTGGAGTTCATTTTGAATTCAGCAGAACTTTATGTTTTACTTTAGGTAGAAAGAATAGAAAATACAGACAGAGAAAGGGGGGGGGGGGAGTTTGACATTTCAGTTTTTAAAATAAGGTTTTTGGTTGAGGAACTGCCACTACTTGTCATCAAATTCACTTTTCTTTAAGCCATGGACTGAATCATTTAACAGAGTAATGACTTTGTAGACAGCTAGCATTGTGAAATCATCCATTTTGTGTGGCGCAGTGGGCTAGTGCGTTGGTGTTCGGACCAGGGGGTCACAGGTTCAAACCCCTCTGCAGTCAGCATGTCGTTGTGTCCCTGAGACACTTCAACCCAAATTGCTCCTGTGGGGATTTTCCACAGTATTGAGTACCGTAATTTTCGGACTATAAGGCGCACCTGAATATAAGCTGCAGCAGCGGCATACCACTCTCGGTTCCACTTTTACTTTTGCGCGCTACCTGTCTCACTCTTTTCCGGCCTCCAGCTTTCCCTGCTGGAACCCGCCGCTTAAAGGTGGGGGTCCGCGGACCGGCCATAGAGCCCATAGAGTTAAAGGTGTTGGCCGTTAGCTGTACAAATCCATAGATTAGCCGCACCGTTATATAAACCGCAGCGTCGAAAAATAGGGACAAAGGCGCGGCTTATAGTCCGAAAATTACGGTATTTAAGTCGCTTTGGATAAAAGCGAATAATAAGTAACATGTAACGTGTAATCCATAATGAGTCAGATACTTAGTTTTTTTGACTGAAAACCTGCAGAAGAAATGGTGTTCCCATCAGCCTCTGCTGTACTGTGCATTGACTGCTAATTAGCACATTAGCATGCCACCAAGCTAACCTAACAGACAGTATTTGACTTGCTAAACATCAGCATTTTAGCATTGCTATTAGAACCATCTTTAATGTTTTCTTGTAAAATATAATGAGTAACCAGCTTTTTCACTTACTGTTAAAACCTTTTGACAATTGGACATGTCCATCTACATATTTTAGATTAATTTATATTGCTTTAAATTCGCTCTATCGAATAATGAACTACTTATTTATGTGCATATTTTTCTTCTTTTTTTTGGTTAAAAATTGTAACTCTAATTTGTATATCTTCTTCATCTTCTTCTTCTTTTTACATTTGAGACATTTCTTTTTCTGGTTAAGACCCCGAAATCTCTCCCCCTCTCTGACATCTCTCCCCTGACCTCTCCACCCTGCCTCTCACCTTTCCCCCCTGCCCCAAATGGTCCTGGACTCTAACCCCCCACCCCCCACCACACACACAACCTTCCCTCATCCAGCACCAGCCACTTTTCTACCCATCTCCGCTGCTACTCCAGTGAAACTGTACTTTGAACATTTTTCTATTTTGCACAAACAAATCTTGCATTAATGTGAATTCATGTTCTGTGTTTTTAAATATATTATCAACCAGCACTTATTAAACTATTACTTAGTTGTATACCCCGTTTATCTAGGCCCTTTTTGTATTTTGTTTTATGTATATATGTCACACTGTGGGACTGCGGGAAACGGTATCTCGAGATTTCTGTATGTATAACACATGTAGACATTTTGACAATAAAGCTGACTTTGACTTTCAAAGATATGTATTATTATCGAATCCATGAACCAAATTACATTTTTCAAGGGAGCACTTTTGAACATTTTTATAATTTTTATAATTTGTTCATGATATTTAGAACTCATCTAATTATTGTTTAAACGTAAGTGTGTGTTTTAATGCAGAAAGCCCATTATTTGTTCATTAAAAGAAGGAATGAGGATGTGCAGCCGAGGCAGAGGTTTGCTCTCACTAATGGCTTTCTAGTTTTAATAATAACCTTCATAATAGACGCAGCATAGACCAACAGGGCCCCTAATGACATCCCTGCTATAGCTAAATGTCAAAATGTAGATGTATAATTTAGATTTCTACTGCATTTCCATCAGTAGTCATCAACATCTTTTGTTTTTCATCGGTGAAAGGACAGCAGTGTTGAAGAAAGAAAGAAAAGGAGGCGTCATTTTTACGGTCTCTTGAGGTTGAGACACGGCGGCGTCTTAAATCACGAGAGATTGTCGAGGGAGTCGTCCGTAAATAAGCGTTAAGTAAATGTCAACTGAAGGCCTCAAAATGCAAATGCTGCCGAGGAGAGACACGCTTCAAATCAGTGGAGAGAGGTTTGGTTAGTCAATGGTGTGTGTGTGTGTGTGTGTGTGTGTGTGTGTGTGTGTGTGTGTGTGTGTGCGACGTGTGTGGGACGTGTGTGTGTGGGACGTGTGTGGGACGTGTGTGTGTTTTACTCTGAAACACATCCTCCAGAGTAAGGTTGCACATGTGGAAAAATGCACTGAATTGCGATTATTTTAACTCTTTATTGCAATTGTGATAAATGTGTCATTATGAAATAAAAGTCTCTTGAAATAAATAAACGTGTATTTAAATGTAAATGTATACATATTTATTACCTCATTTATTTATTTCAGAATTTATTTCATAGGCATATTTATATATATACGTATATATATTTATTTAATTATTTATGTATTTATTTATTTAATTTTGGCTTAAATGGCATCATCATCATCATGCCTTCCAATCCCTCCTTCTATAGTCCATGCTGTTATATCTCACCTGTAGCAGTCGGTGCCAAAAGGACACTCGGGTAAGTCTTCCTCCTGCGTCTCATCTTCCTCCTCTTCCTCATCCTCCTCGTAATCGGTGTCCCCGGGGTGACTGCTCTCCTGGAAATGCATCGGGTTCTTCCTGCAGAAACAAACAGGAAGGTGATGAGAGGTCTTCAGAAACATAATGGAGAGTCTGCACATTGAACATTTGAACAGCATGTTTCCAATCTGCTGCGTGTCCCTCGTTACAGGATGTGCATTTTTATTAAAAAAGGACCAAACACTGGACATTTTGGAGAATTTAAAGCACAAACTGGGGGAAAATGTTCCTTTAGAGTTACATACTGTATGGTGGTAAATAGATTGCATTCATATAGCTTTGTTCCAGTCTTTACAACCCCTCAAAGCGCTGTACACAAGCGTCTATGAGTTTCTAGAAAAGTGCTATACAAGTGTCATATATTGTTATTATTATTATTATTATATACAAGTCAGCATTCACACACATTCACACACATTCATACGGAGGCAGAGGCAGACATACAAGGTTCAGCCGTCCGATTCGAGGATGACCATTTGTGTTTTCCTCCAAATATGGAGCACTTATTTTTTAAGAAAGTCACGGCAAATAGGTCGTGTAAAAAATTAGAATTAGCATTTCTAGAGATATTTATGGAATATATTCTCCATATATATATTATCTCTCTATATATATAAGTTGCAAAAACCACAAGACAATATTAATAGTAACAATAACACAAAATTATCAAAAATATTGGATAAATGTTATTTTGTGTCTAAAGCCCTTCACTAGCGTTTTATTGTAAGAGTTTATCGATTTGTGTATATTTTCTACTTTTTAATGCTGTTTTAATTGTATCTCGAGATGTTTACATTTTAGTATTGTTTATGTCTACTCTTTAATTTCTACGTACGTGCAATGCCTTGTTTTGTTGTTTTTTATGCTGCTGCAATGCAAAAATGTCCCAATTTTGAATCAATAAAGTACCTCTTATCTTATCTTATCCATGAAGACAGTTTTGTGTTTATTTTGTCGCGATTAAGGTCAGTTTTTTAGGGCCAAAGCTTTGAAAAAATGACAATTAAAAAACTTGAGATGTGTCCTTTTTGGGGGATTTGGTTGACTCTACACTTAGCTGATTCGTCATCCTGTGAATGACAACGATTTGACTGATTCCCCACCAATTAAAGGGAATGTCGTTAGTTTAGGAGCTTTAAAATGTAAATCCGTGAGATTATTTTCTTTACTTTGTGGTTTACTTCCTTTTTAGCTGTTATGTTTTTGGACGAGTCTTTATCTTATCTTGAAGACGCAGGATCTCTCGAGGCTAAAAGCAGAGAGAGATCTCAGATAAGCTTTATTTCATTTGTTCCTTGTTTCATGTTTATCCCCTTCTCACATCAAAGAAAAACTCTCTGTTTGGGCTCTAAAGAAGCTCAGCTGTTGTGTTGATTCTCAGTTTACCTGTAGCAGTTCTTCCCGTACGGACACGGCGTCCTGAGTCTGGCATCTGCTCGTTTAGTCTGCTGTCGTCCATTCTTCATCTCCTTCTCCTCGTTCTCAGATTGACTGATTTTACTCGTCTGTGTTTCGGTGTTTGCTGCAGATGTTCCTGCTCCTCCTTCCTCCTCGTCCTCCTCCATAGGGAAGCCGTCAGACTCGTCGCTGATCCCAGATCTGTTGGGTTCGCTCTGAAGACGACCTGAAGGCTGCTCTGAAGGAACATCCTGAGAACGGACAAAGACGTAAACGTATTGTCCCTAGTGAAGTGTAAAGCATATAAGGTAGATCATTTACATTTCAAGACTGAGAGTAAGTCTTATTTGGATTAACAATTAATACATTAATGGGATCAAACAAACACAAAGTGCAGTAAAAAAACATCAATAACCACATGTACTCGCTAATAACTCAACTGTTTTAGACTGAGTGGCTTCCTGCTCTTCATCACTCATCTTCCTCCTTCTCTTCTTCGGCATTTCCTCCTCGCTGAGCTCCTCTTCAGAAGAGGAGGCCTTGGTGGGCGTGGCCTGTTTTGCTGCTTTAGAGCTGGTTGAAGGTCCTTTAGTGCTGGTTGAAGGTCCTTTAGTGCTGGTTGAAGGTCCTTTAGTGCTGGTTGAAGGTCCTTTAGTGCTGGTTGAAGGTCCTTTAGTGCTGGTTGAAGGTCCTTTAGAGCTGGAAGAAGGTCCTTTACTTCTCTTTAAAGCTGATTGAACGTAAATGGAGGGAGAAAATATGAAAGTTGTTTTTGATTAACTTGTTTTTCACAGAAATGCACAAAAAATGTAGTGGCCTTCAATGTTAAAAACAGCAACAAACAACGTCGATAGGAGTACAATAACCAATACATCTGTTTTTAACTTTATCTTTTATCTAAGACTTGTCTCTAATCTTTGAATATTGTGAAATACTGAATATGTAAAACAATATTGAACAGGATAAATGTCCTCTTGGTGAAATTGTTAACACTTCCACACACAACTCAACACTCATTTTGTGAAGAGATCACAAGACATAATAAAAGACAAAGCTTTTAATTTAAAATAGGTAGCTAAGTAAGTGAGTCATTTAGTAGGTAAGTAGATAAGTAACTAAGTAATATAGTAGGTAAGTAGGTAAATAAGTAAGTAAGTGAGTAAGTCAGTAAGTACTTCAGTGAGTTAGTAGATAAGTAGCTAACTAACTAAGTACCTAATTTAGTAGGCAAGTAGGTAAATAAGAAAGTAGAGTAACTTACTAACTGACTAAGTAAGGTGGTTAGTAAGTACTTAAGTAAGTTAGTAAGTAAGTAAGTAAGTAAGTAAGTCAGTAATTTAGTAGGTAAGTAGGCAAACAAGAAAGTAAGTCAGTCTCTAATGGCGCTTTTCCACTGCAGCACGTAGCACGGGCCCGCTTGTTTTTGCTTTTCCACTCGGGGTAGTTCCAGCTCAGGGCTACTTTTTCACCTTTTTCCTGGCCCTCCAAAATCGAGGTTCTTACCGGGCCAACAACCGGGCTGAGTATGCTAACCTAGTGACGTAAACAGTCTCGACTGCTGAATGGTCAGAGAGAATCGCTGGCAAGGGGGCTACAACTAGGGCTGCTCAATTAATCGTATTTTAATCGCAATTACGATTATGGCTTGCAACGATTACGAAAACAACGTAATCGAAATAAAACGATTATTTTTGTATTATTATTATTACTTTTTTTTTATTACTTTTTTTAATTTTTTTTTTTAGTTGAATTCTACTTAAAGTTCAGGGCAATCAACTGTTAAAAACATACTGTTAAAAAAAAAATTCTCCAATAAATGGATGTTTTCTAAGTAAATGGATAATCGTTTTTAATAATCGCAATATCAATTATTGACCCAAATAATCGAGATTATGATTTTTGCCATAATCGAGCAGCCCTAGCTACAACTACAACAAAATGAACATATTTTACCGTGATTTAATTGTAATACACGTTTCAAAATGATACCGAAGTAACAACATACTGATAACGGTCTGCAGACAAGACGGCGGGCGAAAAACCTTTTAAAATGCGTGTTTTCTGAATGGAGATCGGATCGATAAGGCTAAGCTTACGTTGTATATTCTCAAAACAACGGCCTATAAAGAAAAAAGAAAAAAACCAGCGACTGTATTCGCCATGACACAGACAGTCTGTGGTTTGTACTTGTTTAACTTTTGTCTAGTTTCTGAACAGATATGAGGAGCTGTGAGCTCTGAGGGCTAACAGCTAACGGTTGATGTTTTGGTTTCGTGGTTCGCATTGAAGATGACGTCACAGTCGCAGTTTTACGCAGCGTCGCCCCGCCCGCCGAACAGCCGATCGCCCTTTCTACACTGCGTTACTATAGTTACTACCCCAGTTGATAAACTGTAATGGAAATGCAGCATAAAGTGAGCCTGGCCAACCAAGGCCTAACCA